TTTTTTTTTTTTAAATTTATTTTCCGCCTTTAAAAAGTTGCGAGCCAAACAAAGGCCGCGGCGAGCAGGCAAGCTTTCCTCCGGCTTGCAGTCCCAGCACGGCAGGGTTCCAACGCCCGCCTCCCGGTGAGGTCCCGGGGCGGGGTCGGGCGGGGCGGAGCGCTCGGAGGAGCGAGGGACAGGCAGCACCACGGAGAGCTCTCCCCGCCGCCGGCGTGCTACCCACCGCTTCCGGCCTTCCTCCGCTCCGGGGCAAGCTCCCGCCGCCGAGCTGGCCCTGAACGTACCCCTTGGTGAACGCTCCGCTTGTCCGCATGGGTGAAGTGCGATGTCGGGCCGTGTCATCCTCCGCGTTCCCTGCSACGAGGCTCACTTTAGCTACCATATGCACGTGGGAGTTACAAAGGGAGATGAAGGTTGCTTGGGTCTTCCTGCATGTTGTATAGAGCAAAGAAAATGTCCCCCTTTTTCATTCAGGTATGCTTCACAATCGTGACGTTAGCTCAGTTGCTTAGAACATGGTGCTTAATAATGCAGTATTTATGGGTTTGCTCTCCRTGCAATCTACTTACTCAAGAGTTGGACTCAATGGTTCTTACGGGTTCTTTCCAAATTAGGGTGTTCTGTGATTCTTGAGGTTATAATTACCTACACTTCTTTCAATCTGAAGCATCACAAAAGTGAACTGTTTCTTCACTTCTGTGCMTGAATGTGACCTTTGCCAGACACACAAGATTTTTAAGCTCATTCTTCTGGTGTGTTCGCTATCTGGTGTGCTCACTATCACTGTACTCCATATTCTCATTCTATTAGCATGATTGGTAAAGGAGTTTTAAAAGTAGAATGAGAATATGGAGTAGAGTGATAGTGAGCACACTAGATAATTTATTGTCATAATACTTTAGAAAGGCAGAGTTACACAAGAAAGCAATCTGTTTTCAGTACCAAACAATGCAGGCAGTCTCTACCACCAGCAAACATGAGTGGCCAATGATGACTGTCTTCAGGTAATACTTGTGTGTTTGCTTGCAACACTTGGTATGTTCCTATAGTTGTAGTGGCCTAGTGCCAAATTCTGCTTCATCATTACACTTTGCTACTGTTTTTGTGTTTAGTAGGTAGAAATGAGTGGAGTTTCACTCAGGGTACATTGTTGCTTCTGGTCAAATAATTGAGCATTTAAACATGATCTGGTGAYTTCTTTGTGTTTGTGCTTGGGTATTTGCTTGTTTGGTTTGGTTTTCTTTCCTCTTTATTTGTAAATTTCCCATTCAAACACCAGGTGCCATACAAATGGGACAATAAAGATATTTCAGAACTCTTTATTTAATAAAAGGAAATAAGTGGAATAGTTTAATCTGTATAAACTGGTATGTAAACCACTGTACCATGGAAATACCCAAGYTGTGAGCAGTATAGTTAAGCCTTAAAAAACCTGCAAGCTAATCTCTACAGCAGCTGCAGTAAATAGCAGTATTATAGCATCAATTTCATAGAGATAGTATTTTGATCCTAAYTCTCAGCTAAAGGAAAACCAATAAAGTGTTTGATAAGTGTTTGATGCTAACAATATATCCATAAGGTTAAAAAGAAATCAGTCCATATCTACTGTAATTATGTGAAMTATTTAGGTGGGGCACTTTATTGTAACAAAGAAAAAGCATAAACATAATGTCTAAAAAAAGATAAGCCTTCTACTTATTTACTTTGTTATTCCAAGGCTATGTAGTAAATAAGATAACCATGCCTCAAAATATTCCTTCACCCTGCTTTCAGTAAAGGTTGGCATTCCCTACCAAGCTAATGAAGTAGCACTGTCAAATATACATGAAAGACAAATTAAGGAGTCCTTTAGATTTTTTCCTGCAGATCAGAAAAACCCACACTGTGCTATTAGGGGAGACTCCCCTRCAGCAGGTTGTTGTTGCAAATTCATTAATGCTCGTTTTCCTGACCAAGCCCATTAGCAGAAATGAGTTGTTTTAGCTGGAATCTGCTTGCCTTGGAGCTGGAATCTCAGTGTTTTCCTTTTGCTCTGAATGTGGAGTTGCTGTCTGAAGGACAGCTTCACTCTCCAGTTGAGGGTAGCTTTAAAGAAGCTTTTACACAGTTTGAAGTGACTTCTTCCTGTTTTAAAATTAATAGTGGAAASGTAAGTTGTACAATCATGACCTTAAAACAACCCTTTAGGGAGGTGCCACACCTTYTTGTGCTGCAATTTTATTAATTATGTATGTGGACATTGACAAAATGCCAAATAAATAAAAATCTCTTGGCAAGTGGAAAGACCTTGCAAGTACTCCAAGAAAATAATTTTCTACAATCAAAAGGAGAAAAGAGAAACACTGAGAGATTCAAGAAGATACTCATTAGTATGCATAATGTGTAATCATCTTAGAATTACTCAAAAGCAGCTTACCACAAAGCAAAATGCTACAACAGATATTCTTAATTTTCAATTATTTGAGTCCTAGGAAATTGAGGTCCTTCCAAAACTTTGCTTTAAAATTAGAGGRAACAATTCATTGCCGCAGCTTAATTTAGTGCGGTTAAAAAGAGCATTGGTTTTTGAAAAACCTGTCAATAAACTGTTTCTGCAGAACAATATTCTCATAAAGCAAGTGCAAATGTCAGTTTTGCCAGTTAAGTGCTGCTTTCATTSTAGACACCATTGACTCCTATAGGAAATCACCAAGGATGTCTGCCAAGAAGACTAGGGTATCATAGGATAACAGGAATGTTTGGAGATACAGTGGCAAGGATTTCAAGATAAAACYGTAAAAATAGGAAAACAGATTTTAAAATCTTCTTTTAAAGCTGAGTGATAACATGACTRCAAGAGCAGTGGACTTCCAATCTCCAAAAATATCATCTGTTTGCCATCCAGTTCTCCTACCGACTGTACCTCCCAGTAGTTATGTGCCAGCTCTGGCTATCTGCACCTGTCAGCAAAAGGTGAGCACCCCATGCTCCCTGCAAATACTAATTAAATGTATCAGGTAGACTTAATCTAAGCAGGGGAGATTCTGGCTACGTGAAAAAAGTCTATTTCTTCTTTGGTTTCTTTTGGCACAAAATTAGGCTGGTTATCACCAGCTGAATTTTTCCTGGGGAGCAAAAGATGTTATTGGCTGGTTTGTCCCACATATGTTTTCTTCTCACTGACACCATTTAAGTAGTTACATGTGGAGTAGAAAGTTCTCTTTTTCCCTTTCTTTCTCTGGGAAGTGGGAATATAGACAACATTGGTGACCTAACATTCCTTGTCTGGGTCAAAATAAATATGCAARTAAGTCAGAACAGAAAAACATGTTGGTTTTGCACTTCTTCCAAGTGCAAGAATACTAACTCTAATTTAGCGTGTCTCCTTGTTATGTTATTGATAATATTTTGGAAATTCGTTTACTCTTTTTTTACCCAGTTCTTTGCATATTATTTCAAGGAAAGTGGACATTAGCACTACAAAATACTGTGTAGACAGACTTCTGGCAATTTTATGGGTATTTGCCCAACTGTGCAATGAGCTCTCTGAGTGCACTGTAACTGAAGTTGTAAGTTTTATGGATTCAGTGAGATAGACCTTGAAATTTGYTTTCATGTTTGGTTATCATGTTGGATATGTCATTTGCTTTCTTGTGGCTCTTTGATAAACCATTCTCCCAGAATGCTTAATCAGTGTTAGAGAAAGTACTCCGGTAGAAAAACAAGAGCAACAAACCCAACTCCACCCTCCCACTCCCCATAGCAAATAAACAACAAAGCCYCGAAACAAACAAAATCCTGAAACAAACAAAAACAAACAAATCCACAACAACAAAAATCCCAATTACTTTCTTATTTCAAAGATATGTAAGTTACCGAAATAGAAGCAGATGCTAGCCAACAATCTCCTCTGTAAACTATCCCTGATTTTGTTATTTGGGAGTTAGGTATTTTCCCTAGCAGAAAGAGTTCCATGATCCATAAGTGTCCCACTAGTTTGGTCCTGTGTTTTGTACCATGGAAATCCTGATAAACCACAACATCAAAAAACCTGATATCTAGATCTAGATCTTTTTTTTTCTCTTTTCTTTTTTTAAAAAGTCTTCTTTCGTACCATCACATTCAAATGTACATCTGGCTGCAGAGAAAGACATGAATGCAGAATCTAGGACACATTATTCTGTTCACAAAGTATAGCACAGCCCCATCTTGCTTTCTTGGCATCTGTGGCAATTGCAGCAAAAGTTCTTAGAATCTAAGTAATAATTCTTATAGTTAAATCCCATCATTTAACTGTACAATGCTAACAAAATCCCTTTGCCTCTTTGGTTCACATATGTGTGTAAGGATTGGGGCCACAGACCTGCAAGATAGTAGGAGAAAGGCTACTGGATTTGCTATGTTTTCAGTATAAAAAGTCAAATTTTAAAAACTATCATCCACACTGTCCATGGGCTTTGTGATTCTGCAGTTCCAGGGAACAATAATCCACTGTCTGAAGAAAGGTGTGAGTCAG